TATCTCATTTTAATAAATTATCAAAATAAATAATTAAAAATAATAAACTTTAAGCTTTTAAAATATAATATTTTGTTATTAAAACGATCTAATTTTAAGATGGTATTCTTACAAATTTTTAAAAGATAAAGGGATGGACATTTTTTCCTGTATATAATAACAATGATTAGGACTTAATCAAGCAAAGCAAAGCATAATTGATTCCTTCTCCACTTCTGGAATCCATGTGATCTTTTCTTTTAAGAATAAATAAACAATCCATCTGGACCATCCTAATCCGCCTTGTTTTTGTTCCTGAGATGACTTGAAAATTAATAAACTTTTCGGCTGGATATGTGCCAAGTATCTCCTAATTTAGGGAGAGACGAGAGATACAAAAAGACGGTTGCCAAATTTAAAAGAAGAAAACGTGGTTTTATGCTGCTGCAAAGTGGTCCCTATTGTACAGGTGGCATCTCATGTGACAGCAAATGTGGAAAAAAAAATGGGTTTAACTGCTGACCGTTTAGGACTTAACGGTCAGCAGTGACAGGAACATGAACGGAGTCAGGGAAGGGACGACAATGAACAAAAAAAGAGGAGTAGAGGGATGACATATGGCTCTTTGTTAGAGTAGAGGGATGACAACGAACAAATCCTTAGTAGAGGGACAAGAACGAATAAAATATGAAAGCAGAGGGATGACAGTAGGCTTTAAACCGTTTTGAGGCCCAGGTGCCTCTCTATAAGCATATGTTAAAGCTCAAATATTCAATCCCAGTTGATGTGCCTTCCGTCCCCGTACATTCATATCTTTGCCCTACTAGTTGAGAGTATATTTTATTAAGCTTAGACACTCAATCAAGAAACGATGCACCTGCACTATATATGACAGTCGATGCTCGACACTGCCGTGGCTTGAACTCGGAAACTGAACCCATACCTGGATCCATAAGTTCACCAGATTTTTAGGTGGTGAGTACTCATGGATTATGTGCTACATGTGCCAATTACCCAAATTTTTAGGCACTTGTGTATTACATACATGTACTGCGAGTACACAAGCTAATTAGTCCAAACATAGCGCACATGCAGACTAAATTAGGAGGTAAGCGCACATGTATCATGTACAATTGTCTATCTCCCTTCTCTCTCCCCCTTGTGGCTAGTTTCCCCAAAACATTGAGCACCATTCATCCACTTCTCTTCCTGTACATGTGCTAGTTAGCAAGATTTTTAATATACTTGTGCTAATTAGCCAGATTTTTAGGCACATGTATTATGTTTGTGCTACAAGGACATGTGCTAATTAAAGTAACCCAACATAGCACACATGTGCTGATTGGTTGGGATGACAGCCGTAGGGACCCCTTCATCCTGCGGGGATTTGATTGGGGCAAAAATTTAATGCTCATTTTCCTTGTCCTCGTATTTATGGAGAATTTCCGTTAAAATAAACTAAATGTCTTTCCTTTAAATTTAAATTAATAAAGCTTGAATTTAAATTGATGGGTAGGTTTTTTTTGTGAATTAGACATTTATTACCTAAAAGAATAAATAATTAAATTAAAATATGATGTAAAATTAATTTTATGAAATCATTGCATTACAAATTTAATAAAAAATCATAGACATAGAGAAATAGCATATTAAATTAAAGATTAATATAAAATTAAAATTTAGCTATATTTCAACTTATTTACTTTTAATTTCTTCTCATACATAAAAATACATGAAAATACCATATGAAATTATGCTTCTAGCTTTAATACAAATTTAATAAAAAAAGAAATACATATAGAGAAATAGCATATAAAAAATTAATAAAATTAAAACTTAACTATATTTTAATTGATTGACTTTAAATTTCTTTTCACATAAAAATATCATACAAAATCTAGCTTTTATTTTTACTTAAAAAAAAAACTAAATTTGATACTTCATTAACATTTAGTAAGTTAATTTTAAAATATCTAAAATATTTTAAAATTATTTTAAAAATTAAAAATACTCATTTCAAGAAAATAAGCAGATTAATCCAAACTTCACAGTAAAAATAGAGATTTTACTGAGCACATCTCACTAT